AGAGAGAAACCACGAAAGTGATTTTTATAATTTAAACCTTTATCTCTTCTTTCTTAGTAATTCTTCCTGTCTGAATATCACTGTTCACCTTAAGCAAAATAGACATTATATTATTACTGTGAGATAATAAAAAAGACTCTGTGTTATTGCAGCCAATACCCATAATAAATGCAAAATTTGGCATTCTAATGGGTAGCGGAAAGGTCCCTCTCTCTTTGCCTCATTTCTCCCATCTAAAGTAAACATTTAACATCATCGCTATTAATAGCGACTCAAAGTAACACATTTGTACACAGACAAGAATGTGGCAGCGTCTGAAAAACAAACTATCCCAGGTTATCGTAACTGAGCCACCAGAAGAATGTTTAGAAAATCTTTGAGCGAAATTTCACATGTGAAATTTTGAAATTAGGTCTTTTGACTACAAGACTGCAGAAAACATTTTCTGATACTTGCCTATATAACTTCATGTCATTCATGATGGTGTGATCTTTCAAAAAAATTGCTAGACTTTACAAAGATTTGTGAAAACCCAGAGAAATGGAGTGGCTGCTTTCACCAGGTGCTTCTGAAACTCCACCAAGATCTACTGTGCCTCATTTTCTACATGTGCCTGAGATGTGAGATCCGCCTGCCCTGGTAATCTTGGTATATACTGAGATAAAGCTTTCTGCAGCTGACAGCCCACAGGATGCAAAAATTCCACCATTTCCTCTCTTTGACTAGAAAATGACTGGAATGACTCAGCTCGTGTAGTTAGTGTAGCAAGTGTGACCTTTTTAAAGAAGACTGCCGTATGGAGCTTTTTCTCCTCTACTTTCTCCTATTTTCCTTTACTCAAGAATGACCAGCTTCAAAGAAAAAGTTCACCGCTCTAATTGAATATTCTCCATATTGAGAGGGGTAAAAATAAACATTCTTCTCGGTTTATTCACGCATAAACTAGAATCATCCAAGTGTGACATCTGAAAGGAACTACATGATTATAATCTGAAATGAGAACAAAGTTCATCTTGTGCGATTTCTTATTTTTTTCCCCACAGACTTTGAAAGAGGAAAGAGATTGCAGAATCTTAATACCCATTAAAGCTCAAGAAAGCCAGGGATGTGCGCTCCTGTGTTAACCTTTTTAGTATTCTGCTGCCTAATTGTCTGTCCGTTCCACCTTCTCCTCCCAGGTTAATGGGGTGGTTAACAGGGGAGGACAGGAATGGTTGGCCAATCACACTACAAAGCAAACTGAAAAGGTCAAAGTAATGCGCTGTATTATTCATGGACTATGCCTTGCCAAGGTATCTTACATCTCATGTCTTCTCGTGATGAATTGCAACAAGAACAAGAAACAGCCCAACTTGAAATTGGCTCTTGTGACAATGATGGTAGTTTAAATGGAAAAATGTAAAGCTGTGGCCTGCTGTTGTTCTGGTTTTTTGAGATTAAAGGTGTGTGATCACATCTAGCCACTGAATAAGCAGCAGGTTACATTTGTATGACTTCTCAGCTGGTTTGTAAGTATAATACAGTGTATATGTATATAGAGTCTTCTGATTTTAGCTGAGGACTTTGTTTTGGAAGTACCATGTGGTGCCTAATAACCCTCCTATGTCTTCTCTGTCAATAAACTCACCATTAGTTTATAGATTTCTTAATATGAGACTCCTTTTTAGGTGGTGTTTTGTTTTAGAAGTATTAATATGCTAATTCCTAAGAGACCACCTAGAGTGGCCTGTAAGACAGTCCTTGTTCTCAGGAGTTTGCAATCTGTATAGTCAAATTTGAAGGAAAACTTGATGTAACCATTCTTTTCTCCCTCGCCTTTGATGCGAAACAGAGGTAGTGGGAGATACTTGCAGCGGCAGGAGTGTGACTGAGGTGCTCCAAACTATTTTCTGAGTGCTGTCCGTCTCATTGACTATAGAGAGAGATCAGCAACAGCAGACTCCCGATTTACTCCCCAGCGGTGGACGCCTTTAGTGCATGTCCTCATTTAATCCCTACCACTGGATGTCACGAGTGCATCTCATCTTCTTTCTCTGGTGGTGTGTTTAATTCAATACTTTAGCTGTAGACTTATTCTCCATCACTTTGAATCACAAGTTTGTATTTTTCAAGCATTTTTATCATAACCCTTTGACAGGAGAGACTTCATAAATAGCGAAAGTGAAAAATGTGGCTTTTTAAGACCAAACACTGTCTGGTCTACCCTCTCTGAGTTGTAATTAGTGTTGTAACCCAACAGTAAACATATACCTAGCATCTGATTCTGCTTGTGCTCATTGTCCCTTCCAGGGCTTAGTACAGAAGTTCTGATGTTTACAAGGAAGTAGGATTGCAACAGCAGGCAGAAGAGTTACGAGGCAGTCTTAGGGGAGAGGGTGCTTATATCTTCCCCCCCACCGCCCTTCTTTAAATTGGTATAGTGTTCTTTGCTTTTCATTGAGTGGTTTCAACTGGCATCAGCTGCCTGGGGCCAGTGAACTTAGCTGTCAACAGATAAATCATTTTTGTGACAAAAAAAACTCTGTGCTGGAGGGAAACAAACCCCCATCATTCATTTGGAAACTAGTCTTTGAAAGAGAAGTGACCTGAAAGTGGAACTCTTGGGGAGCAGTCTCAGGTGTGTCCTTGTGTATGAGACTAAAATAGCCACAGCAGCCATGGGCCAGACTGTTTTTAATGTGCCCTTAACAAAAAGGAGGATGAGGAATGAAGTCCAACTTGTAATAATATTTGGTGAATGAGAGGAGCCATGGTATAGGTCATCATCCTAAAGAAGTCACCAGTTAAGAGGCCAGAGAATCATTATCATCAGAATCATCCAGCCTGCAATTTCTACAAAAGGCAAGTTAATTATTATAAATATTATGTGTTGTAATTTTTGTAGGTGATCCTCATGAATCTCATGCTTTAGAAACTATACAGCATCAGAAATCCACTCTCCCCCTTTTTCCCCATTGTCCTGTCAAAATATAGTGTATTCATGGAGTAAAGCTGATTCTCAACGAGTCCTGAATAAAATACTATGCAGATTTGAGCCTGGTAATATGTGCATTACAGATGGCTGTTTTTGGAAAACAGCAATGCCCTTCTCCATGACAGAGACTCCTTTCGTGTTTGCTTTGTGTTGTTTCATAGTTGACTTCATCTCCTGACAGCTGCTTTAGTCGGTGGCTTTCTGGAGGCTGAAGGGCACCGTAGCCAGGCCAGATGTTTCCGATACCTAACAGATTGATTTGGGGTACAGCCTCTCTCTCTCTCTGTCTCTCAATGACATATTGATCTGCAATGAAGACAGGTTTTTTGCCCTACCCGATACCTGAAAAGTGAAATGTCACATCTTGGCCTGGATCTGGGTCTCTCACAAAGCTCTGCGATGAGACTTGAAGATCTTTCTCAGTGCGCTCGGATCAACTTGTTCATGTCGCGCAGACAACTGTGTTTCACTGGCAGTGTTGCTTCTTTGTTCCCAAAGGTCACCTGTTTTCAGTGCACTTTATTCTTTTTCATCATTCTAGGTAAAAATACCTCATTTTGCGTTGAGTATTGCAGAATTGTAAGCCAGCTTGCATGAAATTAAGAGTATTTTCTTAAGAGCCTCATGATTTACCAAACTGTGTTGACTGTGACTTGGTGATCCGTGGGGAGCAGTCTATCTGATTTAGTATGTGCCTGCTCATCAAAGATGGATGATTGCCACTATGTGTCATAAAACTTCATCTGACAAAACCAACTCCATAGCAAAATAATGCCGTCTCCACAGGGCAATAATTCTTCGTTTCTGTGTCCCACATGTTTAAGGAGCTCAAGCTAGCTCAGATTTTCTCAAAAAGATTTCTTTGTACTGATTCTGTTGACAATGAACAAAGGACCATCAAAGCTTTTGCCGGTTCTTTCTTAGCTTTCAAGAAACTTTTATGAGAGCCTAGGAAGATGGTCTCTAGCAGCTAAAAATCATAGGATTAAGACTCCTATCTGTGATAAATAGATGATGGGAATTAAGTGGCTAAATGCCTTTGAGGTCCTGGATTTTTAATTAATTTTTAGGGCTGGGGGGGTGGATTTTTCCTTTCTTTCTATCTTTTCGTTTTAAAGTCACCCTTGAATGAGAAAATGTAATGAACTGAACGCTGTTTTTATGGGGTGAGGTTATTTTCTTACAAAGTAAACACAGCGAACAAAAAGGAAATGCTGGCCTTAAAAGAGACTGCACAGATCAGCTGGGGATGCCTGTCAAACACCACCTGATACGGTGATCTCTACTGAAAAGTAGATGTGTTGCTTGGCTCACTGATGACGGGTCTCAGAGGATTTGGGAACCCGCGCTCCCTTGAAGACCGAAGCGATGTGAGATGTGCCTCCACGACAGACTGCTGCCGTGGGAGTGCAAGACGCGTCGCCGAGCCTTAACCGAGAGGTTTGCACCGGGGAAGGCAGGTGCAGTTATTCTCTTCCCTGGAGTGTTTGTGCTTTTTTAAATAACAGTTACCACCCTAATGGGGGAAAAAAGTCATCCTTAGGGCACAGGTGAGAGTGAGGACTTCACATTCTTAACCACGGGACAACAGCTGGGCTCCTTTCTTTCCTTTCTCTTCTCGTAGTGTTGTGTTTCTTGCACCTGTAGTTGCTGCAGCCCTGAGGTGCAGGATGCCACTTTTTCCCTAAGGAGCGTGCCAAAACCTGTAGCGTTCGGCATTAACCGGGGAAGAAGGCAACGTGAGGCCGAATTCCGCTTTGCTGAGGATCCTATTTTCAGTGCTTCGCGGGCGATAATCAAACCAGGAGGATGTTACAGAGTTTGGTTGCAGAATATTCGCGGAGCAGAAAATACAGGCCCCTTTTTGGCTGGGTGTTACTATTTAAATAAACAAGACAGTTTAAAATAAGCCTTTCACAGATATTTATTCCAGACAGTTAAGACTAATGAAGTGCAGGAATGTCCTGCTAAAGATACCCCATAGTGAGGGGAAGGCTCATTAAGTGGAAAGGTGGCTTTTTTTGACCTATCTATCAAATATCTCCAGTGTTAATTTTCTTGCTCGCTGTGTGACCATGTCTTTAGGGCTGGTAAGGGACAGTTTTGTATTTCCTAGGCTCTAATGTTGCTGGGTACTTTGAGTCCTCTTCATTTTCATTTTTTCCGTCCTAGCTGTTCTCAGCCTTTTGTTCTTTAAGTAATTGTCTTCTGCTTGGTATAAGTAGTCTTCAATTAGTCCAATCTGCAATTAAAAAGAAATGGTGTCAGAAGCATGTCCCTTCCCCTCTATAAAAACTTTAAAAACTTCTGCAATTAGTTTATTTCAAAACTAATAGTCATTAGAAAGACAAATACATGAAGGCACCTCTCATACAATTGGCTGGAGTAGCAGTACCTGATTTCATAATTTTTTTTTGTTGTTGTTCCTTTCCATTTGTATTCAATTACCTTACTGCTGTGGAATAGACTCTTTCATTGAAATCTGTACATTGAAAACAGGAATTTATCACAACTCTGTCTTTAAATGGCATTGAAAAACAGCCACTTTTAAAAGGAAGGGATGATGAGGAAATTAATCTCAGGCAAGTTTTTCTTGATAAGGAAAGAGAACAAGAGGCTTCTGGCATTTATATGCCAAAAATCAACACATGGAGAAAAATGAGTATTCCACATTGCTGTGGCAAGAACCTTTTTTCTATTAAATCAAAATGAAGTTCTGAATAAATATGTTTTCCCATGAATATAATACACTAGAGAGTACAGTAAAAGAATAGATGACCTCAGTGTCCCCCCCAAATAAAAGCGTAATTATTCTAATAAAGAGCACATTCAGATAGACACATCTTCCTTGCAGAGGTGATTTCAAAGCAACCAAAAATATAGACTAATAGTACTGTGCACAGGTATTCTGTAAATACTGGGCATTCATAATTTTATGGCTATGTCTCCTCATACCTTAGCTTTATTCGTACCCTTTGTCAGCTTTTGTGATCTGCAGTGTTTCTGTAAGGTGAAGATGAGAATCATCTCCCTTCTCACTGAATTATACTCAAGGCCTAGACCCTATATAATGTGAGGATCCAAACAATCAATCTTCCAATTGCATTTTAAGCTGAAATATTTAAAAAAAAAACAACCAACAAGTCCTAATCTATCATCCTGACACGCATTCAGCGGAGCATAGCTTCTTTAGGCACAACACAGAACAGCTGACTGTGAGTTAATCTGAGCGTGGCTTCCTATTGTATTTATTCATATACTGAGCCGTTACTGAAGTGCTCCTCAGCCCTGAACTTGAGCCGTGCCGTGCGCTCTGGCCATGGTTTGTGCTGGGGAGGGATGTGGGTGTGTGACAGAGGAAAAACGAGGCAAGCGGAAAAGTCTGCGGGCCAATACTTCTGCCTCGCTGGGGTGCCGAGGGCGCAGGGAGCACGCCGGGGCAGGAGCTCTGCCGTCCCCTCCCCACGACGCTTGCAGCGGTGACGTTTTCAGCGGCCCGGCTCTGTGTAGCACCGTGCATAATGCCGTGGAAAAGACTTCTCTACCGTGCTGGTGGACCCTGACGGGCACTTGCTGGTGGGCTTTTGCTCCTCTGTCGCCACGAGACCCGTCGCAACAGGAGCGTGGGGAGGTTGGGGCTCTCTGAAGAGCCTCGCGGGCCGGCTCCGCTGTGACGTGCTCACCATACAAACGTGCGGAGGATTAGAGAAAGGAATCACTATGCTGGCCTCATTTTTAAGAAGCTGAAATAAAAGCTTAGGAAATCATTGATCTGGCCAAAAGCACGTGGGAAATCTCAGAAAGACTAATCACTTAGTGCCAAGCTCCAGCCCAGGGGCTGAGCCATATTAAAAACAACCACCAAGCCCCCAAGACTCTTCGGCAACAAACCAAATTAAAATGTCTACGTAACTTTCTTCTGTGGTTAAAAGTAATCTTTTTTTATTTTGGGGGTAATGCTTGTGTTTGGGGAGCACAAAGGGTGGGTGGTAAGAGGAAAGGAAATAATAGGTCCCGGGAATGGGTAGGGTGTGGGGTGAGGGCAAAGGGAGCACCAGAAAAGCCAGAGCTTCTACAGCAGCTCCTTTAAGGACCATCCAGCGGTGCCTGCGCTGCTGGTGATGCCACCAGAAAGCGCCGGTGGAATGATCGTCCCACCTTGAACCGCGGCTCGGCTGCTGTTGTGTGCTTTTCGTATTTATGGAATACCTGTCAGCTCCAGCCCCCAAAATAAGTTCTAATATGGCATATCAGGGGTGGCAATAATAGTTGCTTACATAATTGCAATGTTACTGACACAGCTGATGAGCTGATGATGTTATTTGCACAGCAGTGATGGCATTCAAACCCTTGCTGACTTACAATTACATTGTATGCTCTGAGCCCTGGCATGATTTAAATTACCGTACGAACACAATGAAAATACCGTCTCTTGACAAGATAAAGGGGGCGGGGAATGGCTTAAAAATCTCTTTTTGGTGGCTGCAGTGTTCGGTAATGCTTATTCATGGCTTTTTAGCTTGCACATTTCATTTTAAGGAAGTAAATTGGAAGCTTTATGTTCTGCCTTTTTGCCTTGATTTAAAACCTCCCTGTGCCCCCTCTTCTGCTCTCTGGTGAGCACCTTCGGGGCTCTCATTGGGAAATGCAAATTTTTTAAATCGATAGCTTCACTTTTTTTGTCCCCCCTCAATAATTGTTTAAATAAGAATCCATGTGGATGGGATTGAGTAGAAGGAGATCGTTTGTAACCAGCCCAAGCGTGATTAGTGTTAAAGCAACAGCTGTTGTAGGAAAATAGATTTTGGAAAAGACTTGTCACTTATTCCCAAGTAGAGCAATAGCTGGCTACAAACTGGTGCTGAGGCCGAATCCCAGGGTTATATAGCTGAACCCCGCAGCTACTATTTAGGCTAAAGCAGCGCTGAAGCCCGAGTGAAGAGCCCAAGCTCTGCAGGACTTGGTTCACACCGGAGCCTTCGCTGCTGGTGTTGCCGGTGATTCGCATGAGGCTCATGTTGGGTCTGATCCCAGCCTGCGCAGAGGTCACCGTTGTTGGGTCAGTCCTCTGCACTCGTTGTACTTGGATTGTGTTTCCCCACCTCTAATATTCTGATCCACGTGGTGTCCGCGTGTGCCACGGGCTGTGCCGGGGAGCAGCATCGCGTCCCGTCTGCCGCGGCGGTGCTCTGCTCTCAGCTGAACTCGCTGTTTGACATTCTTGTGGTGGAGTCCCTTAAATACTCTCCTGAACGTATGAAACCACGCTTCTCCACCTACCCAGATATACAGTGTCTTTATGGTCTTTTTCTCAAGTGCCTGGTGACCAGAGAACTAATGAAGACAAATTGGACTTCAAGCTATTTTTAATCTTCCACTGCTATGACATTTTACTTTCAAGATATCCTGAGTGTTTCCCCCCCCAGTTACTCCCAGCAGTGCAGTGACAGCATTTCTACGTTGAATCAGTGTCTACAACTCTGGCCCGGCCAGAGGCTCCTCGGTGCACGACCGCCCTTCTATTCAAGTTCCTCCCATTTCTTCCTCATTAGCTCCTAATTTCAGGCTGCTCCTGACTGTTTATTTCACTGGATTTTTCTTTCTCTCTTTAGTCTTGCCCCTGCCATCAGCTCGAGGGAGCAGGGTAAAAAAGGGAATGGACAGAATGAAGATTGAATGGAAAGAGGGAAGAAAGAGAAACAAAAGATGCCTTTAAAGCAAATTACATGCTCAGTCCACAGCACATCCTTGTGGTACCTATAGGTACTTTGGGATCAAGCTAAGTGGAGAAGTGTAGGAGTCTGTGGACAGAAATTTGAAAATCAACCAGGTACTCAGCAAAGCTTATTTTGTGCTCTTCACTTTTATATTGCATTAGTTTTACATTGCCCTAAAATTCTTCTTTGTGCTTCAAATTCTTGCATTGATAATATGTTGTGGAAGATATCAATGGTGGAAACTGTTGATTTGGGGAGGGGCAGAACAAAAAACAAGGGAATTAACACTGAGAAAACACCTGGGCTTCTGCAAGAATATAGACATATAGTGTTGGCTTTTCAGCTGCCGGCCTTCAGTTTTATACCCATGAGTCCATGAAAGTACCTGGGGAATCAAAGCAATGGGCTAATGCTGGGTCTGCATGCTCAACTCTTAGGGGAATTAAGTTAGGATAGGGAGACCGACAGGTCATGTCTCAAAAGTATTTCTGTTCTTTTGTTCTCAGGGAAAATCAGGTGAATGGGCGAGGTTGTGTCTGCCTTGTGCCACACACCAAGGTGTTTTTATTCTGACACAGCCTGAGAAGGTGAAAAGCATAATTAGGGCACCAGAAGTACCTGGATGGGCTATAAGTCAATTAGTCTGCTCTGAATTCCAGGTTTGAGTTTGCTGGGAAAAGAAAATGATCTGTGGTCCCTGCAAATACTGAGGTGATCAGCTCATTCTTAGCTGAAATGGTTTTACATCATTTTACATCATAGACTCTGTAAGCTGTAAAATCATAAAAGTATGTCTCGCATGGATGCATGTATATGCATTCTCTATAATGCCTAAACATCCGAACTTCCTAAGTCCCAATGCAAATGGGCAGAATCTGTAAATACTCATGTTTTTGGTGCACTTATTTAATGCAGTTTATGCAATGAAAACACAGAGCTCTTTGGGTAACAGGCAATGCAACAGGATTAGCTGGAGGGATGAAATGCAGAGGGTCTAATCAGGCGAGGCAATATATGGTTTCCCTTTGGTTTGGGATTTGATTCAGTCGTACAGGAGCTCTTGAAAATGACATTATATAGATCCACACAAAGATAAGGAACAATACGGGCCTTGCTTGGAGCATATAAAAATATTTCTAATCCTGCCCTTTTGTACATGTTGTCCAGTGATGGATAAAGGGGAGAGACTTGCCGCTGTGCGTGTTCAGCCCTGCTCTCTGGGTGCCATCCTGATTGATTCGCTCGTGGCATGGAGGGATATGTAAGCAGCGCTTGCTGGCTGCAGCTGAATTACAATCATTGAAAGATTCAGTGTAAGGGACCTCTGGAGGTCATCTAGACCAGCCTCCTCCTCAAAGCAGGGCTGTATGGGAAGTTCACATCTCCTTTTCTGAAAAACTCTACTGCATTTTTGGTAATGCCTTGTCAGTCACTTCTGAACTTGCCTGGATGCATCTGGTTTTGCCCTGGAATACCACAATGCAAGTATATTCTTTGTCCTTCCTACGCACTCATTGGTATAAGG